TGTTGATGTCTCAGTTGGTGTCAGCAGCTCCACTTTTCATCCTAAATGTGTCTGCAGTGGGGGCTGCAAGCCTTTCCAAGGCCATCACGCTTTGATCTTTAAGCAGTTTAAAAGAGCCCTAGTGGTGACATCATTGCTCCAGTTAATGTCTCTAAACCTCTCTGAGCAGCGATCATCTCAAACAAATACTCTAACGTCACGCATTTTGATCAAATCTAAGAGATTTTTATTAATAAGCCCAAACCATACTGTGGTGTCTGCTTTCACATGCTCTTTTCTTTGAGCAGTTTCTAAAACATCACCTCTGAGGAGGATAGAGCTGGTTTTTGTGCAGGAAAATAAGCCAACACCTTAATAGAGGTTTATCTAACCAGACATGCTAATATTTGTTTCCCATGATTTCCATTTAAAGTGACAGGAGTGGTGTGTAAACAGCTGGTGTCCCTGAAGGGGATGGAGTCGAAAGGGGGGGGAATGGAAAATACACACAAAACAGCCATCATCTTAATAGATGTTTACAGCAATGTTTGGATCTGGCTAAGCATTTGCACATCTCAGGGCAAACTGATCAAAAATGAAACCACCAGCTTCCAAGATTTAGATCTGAGAATGTAACTGACGGCTTCATGAAGTCTTCAAGGCGGTTATTCATGCTTACCATAGTTTATACAAGTAACCAATATGGAGATTTGCCCATCTCTCAACAGGCTTCTGCAGGGGTGTTTCTTTGGAGGTTAAATTGGAAATTAGCATTGCCCCAGTTCCCTTGGCTGAACATCCGTTGGGTTTTTCCATAATGTTTGTGGATTATTGCAGAAAATAAAAGTAGAAAATACAATTTTTGATGCTTAAATGTTCCGTTCAGAAAGATCATGTCTACAAATTAAAGCAGTGTAGATGTAGATATAGATCTGAAGCTTAAGAAATAAACGCTAATGTTATTATTATTATTTTATGTATATATAGTACACATGTAACATTCATTTAATTTTTTGTAACATTTGTTTACATTTTTGGTACAAAGCTAGATTATAACAAAAAATTCAACAACATTTTTTTTGTTGTTACATTTACATTGTAACAATTTTTGTTAGTTTGTTAGTTTGTTACGAAAAATGTTACCAACTAGCTTTGTTACGAAAAATGTAAACAAATATTCCAAAAAATTCAATGAATGTTACATATGTACTATATGTACATAAAAAAAACTGTTTTTTGTAAACTGACCATGAATAACTTGACCTTATATAATATTATACTAAGTATTTTTCAAATCATGTTGGCAGCTCTTTCTTCTGATAATACTTTCTTTAAAGAAATAACACATTTTGGGTTGGAAGAAAGGCAGATGTGAAATGTAAAAGTGAACTCATAGTTTAAGTATCATGTTATTTACAGTCCTCATATATCTGCATCATTTCCTATATGTCCTTTCTAAATACAAAGGCATACTTTTAAAGAAAAAATAAATTTTATTTAAACTTAAAGAGGTCAGAGGTAGAAAGTAAAATGATATTTAGAATCCTCATATATAATTTGCTATATGTATATATGCTGAAAATACAAACAATGGCAGTAACAAACATAACTTTAATAAAAAGCTCTATATATCATTACATAGAGCTATATAATTTTGAACTTCAGATCACTCTATTGACCTTGAAAGCGAGGTCAGAGGTCAAATGTGGTTTGACATTTTAAATCTTTATATGGTACTTTCTATATGCTGCCAACACATACCACACTTGTAAGAGTCATAATTTCTAATTTATAAGCATTTTGTCAATTTTCAGCCAATAAATCATTAAGTTGACCTTAAAGATCTTGGTGGATATAAACCAAATTTTAATGTATTTTTAACATGACCTCCCTCTGCACCCCGACAAAGTTTTATCAGAAACTTTAGTTCCATTCAAAACTTTTCCAATGATCGTGTTTGCAGACAGAATGACACGCACGCACAAAAACGCTACTAAAAAGATAACTCTGTGAAAAATGTTCTCAGTCAATGTTATATGGATTAAAATGACTACTGCAGATATTTAAGACTGAGCTATCAAATATTTTACATTGTGCTAAATCAGTAATGTAACATATTCTGTAAAATCATATTTTTGTAGTGACTTACCTGTGACAACCTGTGGCCTTCATCGATGACCCTGATTAAGGCCACAAGCCCAAGCCGTTGGTCAGTCAATAAAGTTGTTCCTCTTCCCTTAAGTGTTGCTGGAGTTCCTGCATTGTTACCTGTGACAACCACATGTTGACCAAAACACAAAAAACAAAAGTGTTTATTAATAAGCTGAGAAAAAATATAGTATCAAATAGAAAAACAATGAAGTGTGAAAATAGAACCTTGTCTTGTCCTGTCCCCTGTCAGTCTTCCATCAGGTTTATCCATGATGTGAATTTGCAAATAAAATGGCAAAACCTAAAGATTTCAATGGCTCGTAGTAAAGCTAGCTTCCCCAGACAACAGCCATTTGTGATTCCAAAAGGTAGTAATTTAAAAGCTGGATGCAAACAGGCGATAGGAGACATTTGATGGGATACAAAAGTGATCTTTTCACTTGCAAGTGAATGTTGCCCTAGATGGAACGCCACTGTTGTTTATTTTGTTTGCTTTTTTTCTTTGTACCAGGCTGTAGACATTGCCGCTTCCATCATGGCATCATTTTTCGGCCCCTAAGGTTGCCACTTTTTCAAAGCTTAAAGCTGAGCTGGTTTGACACGATGATGTCACCAACAACGTTTGTAGTCTGAAATACATCATAGTTTACTGACATATTTAAAGTAGATTGAGAAGAGGAAACCAGAAATGCAAAATACTAACTAATTTCTGGGATTTAAGACTCATTCCTGTAGTATTTAATAACCACAATACCAGCTTTGTGCCCTTCAAAATAAAAGCATGTAAGCTACAGAAGTGATCATTTTTTGCTCAGTATTATACAGAGAAAATCTCTTCTGCAAAAAGATATATTCAAATGTAGTGAGGTACATGTCATGGGTACATGTCATCTGGTCATTATATAGTCTGTGAATGTCAAAGACACCCATGATCCGAATTTCGATAGATGGTTAAGAAAATGTCAAAAACAAATTTAAAAATGCCAGTACCAACATCTGTGTCCAAGTTTATGACTGATATTATTTATTCAAATATATTCTGAATATGAAAATAAGAATTATTGATCATTTCAGCTCGCCAAAATAGAAAACAAAATATGACTAATGTGGTAAAATGCAAAGAACTCACTGTAACCTTTCTGAATAATTACAGCTTCAGTGGTTTGCAGTAGAAAACGCCAGAGAGCAGACTTCCTGTGTCCAAGCTCACTGACTAAAAATGTCTCCAAGCCACAGCAGAGCAAAGGACATTTAGAGAGGCACCTGGAACCCGAGGGACACATTGTAGAGAGGCTGCTTTATAGGCTACAGTGCAGTGCAATGCATTCAGGCAGGCAATGGTTTTTGAGACCAGTGTGAAACAAAACGTATGCAGAAAGATTTCAGAGCTGTGGTGAAAAATTGAACCGGAAACGCCAAAAGTCGTTAGAAGACAGATGACAATTCCACCTACGTTTGCCGTGAAACAACTCAACACAAATTCCATCTGCATTTTCCTTAGATTTACATTCTCCTCTCACCCTTCTGCATCTGCATTTTGAAATGTGCTTGTCCTCACCAGGATTCGCTCGGTCACAGATACTCAGACAAACCAAACTTTTTGTCAAACAGTATTTATTGATGTCAGTGAGAGGAGAACAGAACAGATTCAGTAAGGACGTGAGACATCCATGTGTATCTTTCACGTGTGGTGATTAGTTACTTTGTAAGATGCTGGACACTATTCAGATTACCACAGATTTCCTTGTCACAGTGAATGTCTTCCATGTCTTTAAGCTCTGGCAGTTTCCACTGACTGAAGAGTTAAATGTACTGCAGTCCCATTTTAAGGATTAATATTTTTTTTCAAGACTATCTTAAAACAATGCTCATATGAATAAAGAAATGACTTTAACATTTCCTCCTGTCCCAGCTAAACATTATTGGATACGTCTGTGGCAGCGTTCCATAGCCACACAATCGCAACATCTCCAAAATTTGCACTCTTTTAGTACCACACTTCATTCGTCTGTCTCTTTAACATCTTTCTGTGCTACTCTTGAATGGAAAATTAAAGCACAAACAGGTATACGACTCCTGAACATGACGTTTTGCTTTACACTTTGTATTTAGTTCCTCCATCACTTACACTGAAACCACATTTGAAAGCCAATGTTAACGCGATGGTTTAATACACCAAGAAAAAAAAAGTTTTGTCATGGATATTGATACCTTTTTATTGTTTAAAGATGGATATGAAAAAAAATATACACCTTACTTTTAAGTTGTTGCTCCAATTACCCACGCATACTGGTGGTGATGTGCTTGATTGTTAGCAATGGGGGAAAAGAAATAAGGACAGAAGGAAATAACAGTGTGTCAGTATGTCAGTTCCACCAAACCAAGCACCTGGTTTGGTGGAACCATTTTTAGAAACTTGTCGAAACTACTCACAAGCCCTTAGACCTACATGAACAGAAGTATGGGTAAACTGTTTTATCTGGTGGGCTAGCTACAGTTATGCTAGCTAGCCAGGGATGTGTTAGCATATATATTATATTTTATCTGGGCTCTTTGCCTTTTATGGACGTAATATTCCCTTGTGGTTATGCATAATTTTATTCAACAAAGAATTTTAATGAATTTGGGGAAAGTATATTTAGAAACTTCTGAGCGTGCTAACTGATAGCTAGCTAGCTAGTGGGAAAGCTCAGTCAATAAAATAACTTTTTTGTTGTAAGTGTGCAAAACTTGTTCAAGTTAGCCAAAATTTAGACTTTGGACTTCAGATTGCTCTAAATGCTTTATTTCTGCCAGTTTGCTCTATTCTTGGATTGGTATGATATCCTACAGAAAGGATGTTCCTAATATGACCATCACAGGCACACAAACCAGAAGAAAGGTGTCTTAAGGGGAGTTGGAAAGTAGGTAAAGTGAGTTTTTTCAAACAGAGGATGAACTGAGAGGCTGCATTAAGGCCCAATATTTAATAAATAAGAATTGCTTTTAACTGTGACTCATGCAAATCTACTCTACTTGAATGCAAGACTAAAATATGGAACTGGAAATTAACATGAGATATCCCCTTTAACTTTCCACAAACTATGATTTTTGAGTTTTGCTCATAATCTATTAGAGGAAGTTAAATAAAGCTGGACAGTACAATAAAACGACAACAGCTTCCTTCTTTTCCCCCTCCAGCTCCCTGAAAGGTCAGAACTCACTGAATGGATTGATTTTGCCATGAATGTTTTCACTGCTGCTATTGACAGCCACAAGGGCAAACATTACTGGCTAATTTATACTCTGAAAACTGCTTATCTGACATTCAGTTTGCATCTTGATTTCTTCATATTGTCTTCGAAATACTGCATACTTTTAACACACATGTGGCTTCAGAAGACCCTCTCAGCCTGTAAGCATCCAGTTGTTAGCTTTACGTCTTCAGACCTGTTGCCTCCATAGCATTTCAGAAAGGAGCTCAGGTAATATTTTCTCCCAGGGATGCTCTAAATTATCTGGAGCATTTGTTTCTTCACACTAAGGTATCACACACGCACTAATGACAGCAACCTCCAGGTGAACTTAAGTTCAAATAAATATACAAAAAGGATCTTTGACTGAAGTAACAGAACAACAGGTTGCAGATAAAGCCACTAATGTTGCACCTATTCAAAAGAACAGAAACCAAGTTGATCATATTCTTTACTGTAAACTATATTCAGTGACTGTCCAAGGATGTGCTGCAGCGTGATTAGTCGGGGTATAAGATAAAGCCAGAGAAGGTGCTGTATTTGTTGTTATTTCCTCCATGAGCTTTGCCGCCGTCGAGCTTGACGTAGACCTCATCTCCAGAGTCCAAATGCAGTACAGCACTGTTGCTGGCGTAGTCATAGTTCTGGTCTGCATCCTGAGCTATGGCACTGGCTCGAACCTGGTTAAAGAGAAAGAGAGAGAAAGAGTTCCTGTAACGAACACTGAAATAGGACTAAGCAGAAAAGTTCACATATACCTGAGAGGCAAAGGGAAGCAGCAGTGGTGCGTAAAATGGATATATTCCAACTTTTAGCTACCAAGTGTGCGGTTAAAGGGACGTCAGGTTAAAAAAAAACGTGGAGGAAAATAGAATAGAGCAAAATTTGGCCCTAAGTCTGAACTGAACCCTGAACTAATGATGTCAACCCTCCTGTCTGACCCCACATCCAACTGAAGCTGTCTCATCTAAATGGGATTTACGCATGAGTGCTACCGTTAAACAGAGCGCACAGACAGGCTTATAGAGAACTAGAAATACCGCTGGTGTTATGCTAAAAACATTAAAGATATATCTGCTTCCACAATTCGTTTGGAGTCCTGTACCTCCGTGTGCGCTTTTGGTGCGTAAAATATGTATTTCGGCACGAGGAAAAAAGCCATTTTATGTATATCTACATAAACTTGAATAGTTATGAATTTACTTTATAAACTGTTAGTGCTCCCGCTTTTCCCGTCTGAAGCTACCCTCCTACCTGCCCGTTCTTGCACAGGTCGGCCCACATGCTCGTCCCGTCTCCTCCTCGCATCAGCACATGATAAGTGAAGAAATAGATCCCGGACACATGGCAGGTGAACTTCCCGGTGCTCGGATCGTAGTGGTTCCCTAAGTTTGTAATCACGTCGTCAAACTTTAACACCTCATATCCTTCGTGCGGATTTTTCAGACCGACGTAGAAAGCGATCCTGAAACCGCTTGCAGTGGCGTTGGCTACCTCTGTCTCGCCGTTGTCACCCCCCGCACCTCCGGTCAGCGCAGGGAAGGATAGTTTTACGTCGCCGCGCTCTCCCGGTGGGCCCCTGGGACCAGGGGGTCCCGGTTCGCCCGGCGGGCCCCTGGGTCCAGGTTTACCCGGTCGCCCTGGCTCCCCGCGGCTCCCTTGCGCCATCGGCGGCAGCGGAGCTGCCCCGTTCAGGTTCTGGATCACTTCCATGGCCGTGGCGCCTCCCGGTTTGGGACTGTACGGGTCGCAAACCATCCGGCAGGTGCCCATCATCTCATAGTAATGAGCGGTGGTTTTAGAGGTGCGGATCAGCAGTAATGGGACAGCGATGGCGAGAACTAACAAAACCATCGCGACGGCGGTCACCAGAAACACCACGGACCACTTCCTCCGCGCCGTTCGGGGACCAATGGAAGATAAAAAACCCGAGGAGCGGCTCTGGGGAGGAATCGTGACAGAGGACAGAGTGGGGGTTCAAGAAGAGAAAAACCAAAACAGGTGAAGTTCAGTAAGTGCGCGTAACTCGCTCCTGCTTTTCTAATTGGAGTCTTCTAGCCCGTGGGCAGCGGATATGACCGGAGAGAGGGTGCGCGTCTTGTCTGGCTGGCTGGGTGCGCGCGGACAGATGCCTCCAGCTGTCAGAGTTAGAAAGGATGAGACCGGAAGACAGAGGATGTGGCCTTCAAATTAAAACTCTTTTCTACCGACCGATGAACGAGTAATATCGAGATTAGAGAAGAAAACTGAGCGATGCAAACGATGTTTACAGCGCTTAGTGATGCGAGTGAGAACCACGAGGCTGCACTGCGCCGTTAAGACGCATCAAGAAGTTAAGGCGCGCAACTCACTGAAGGTCACATGGTGTGTAATTGTACTTAAATAAAGTTCAGAAGTGATTACTTTCAGTGGTCGAAATAAATATTTGCTGGTGCGTTACTTTTAACTTTGCAGATGTATTACACTAAATGTCGAATACAGCAGGTACAGTAGGGTCAAAGCACCACGAGGCCACTGTTGTACTGATTTGACGCCACGTATATGATAGATAAATCTGAACTGAATCTAATCAGTAAATAATCCATGTTAATAAGCCACCGAGCAGTAATTCACTTAGTTGAATTAGTGTCAGACCGACGTCCTTACACACTGAATATTACCCTGGGAAAATGAAATGCAATACTTGGACTTTTAACAGAGTGTTTCTGTACAGTACTCTCATGTTTTTTTTTTTGTTTTTTTTTGTTTTTTTTTTACAAAAGTAACATCGCGTTATCTCCATTACTTACTCCATTATATTACACTGCTACCTCAGCTACAGTACAGAGGGATGTGCTGTAATTGTTACTTCACTTCACTACTTGTTTTCTCGATCCCAACGACACAATGAAAAAATTTTTTTTTTCATTTTTTTAAAAAAAAAAGGTTGTGGCAAACATAAGAAAGGACCTGAGTCATTGCATCATTGGAAATATGACTATAAAATGTGTTAAATAATATGCACTAGAAGCTCTTTTGCTAATTATTGATCTAAAGCACTAAAGCTCAAAGTGATTTGGTCCGCTTTTTTGCCTATTATTCCCAGAGTTATATATTATAACACTTTATAATATGGCCTCTTGACTGAGGGTGTAATTTCTCTCAGTTTTAGTATTTATATGAATTTACAGTATAATTATATTAACCTACAAATATTTAAAGGTAGGGTAACAAGTCAGGTCTATACAGGAAACAAAGAAATAATTACAATGTAAGTCAATTCAAGCAGTCTAAAAGCATTTTTAAGTAACGCGTCAGTAATTTTAGGTGGTCCATGAGTCATTTTAAGTATTGCATAACATCAGTTATTTTAAAGGAAAGGAGATAAAATGATTGTGTAAGTAAATAATAACAGTCGTGATCACAAATAAAATATGGTCAAATAAAAGGACAGTTGAATATGAGAACATCTGTCATACACTTCAACATAATGAATATTAAAGAAAGATGTAAAGAAGAAAGATCAATCCACAACATAATATAGCCCGAGCCCCAAAAAGTACAGCATACTTACCATGTAAGACGGGGAAATTTCATTTAATTCATTATTTTAAGGCATTTTACTGAAATCAAACCTGAAATGCTTCTTTTAGACTTTTTGAACCCCTTCTATCAACAAAGAAATGAAAACTTCATGTCTAGTGATAGTCATGTTTACAGCAGAAGGAGGTCTTAATAGGCGGTTTTGATTCTCTTCATTTTTTTAAACTTTCAAATAATAATATCACCAACATCGGATACAGTTTAAAAGAGCTTTCATTTCTGCAGGCGTAACAGGAAATGCTCTATTTAGTTTTCAGTGACCTGACAAAAAGGACCAGCCATATAAAGTTTGCACAGATGTTATTCAAAATGTCAACGACTGGCAGTGTTTACATCTCGCAGTCTTGTAGCGGACTGCTTCAATCCATGCGTACATACACCGCCTTAAAAAGCCACATGACTGCATATTTGTTTACAAATTTTCTTTATGTAGGCGGAATAAATTACAGGGGAAAATGTATTCATTCATTCCCTTGATGGAAATGAGGTTTTCTAAAATAGATTTATTCTTCTGTTGAGACAAATTAGTGGAAAGTTTGGGGGCTTGAATTGTCTCCTCCTGATCCGTCAGCTTTTAAAAATGTTTTGTTTTTTTACTCACTTTGGCTTCATGCAGTCTGTCTGCACAGATGCTGAATTTTGCACTAATCATCATAAATACATGAAGTAGTTAATTACTCTGTAGTTAAATGCATTAAAGACGCAGGTTACTTCTTATTTATTTATATATTTGTTGTTGTTGTTTTGTTTTTTTTAGACTAAAGTCAAATTTAATGAAGAGCAGCTAAACTCGTGACCAAATATTTGACTCAGACCACGAGGAGATCTTTCAAAGTCACATCAGATGGCTGAGGGCAGGTTTGCAATGGTGACGTCATGTGACTGACATCATGTTTGCATCGGTCACTTTACACACACACACACACACACACACACACACACACACACACACACACACACAGGAAGTGGAGCACAGAAAGCAGGGTGGTGCGGGGTGGTGGTAGGGGGGTCAGCTAATATATGCAGGATGTGGACCAGAGATGTCTAACTGCTGTCGACACCTTCAGCAATAAGCTCCCCGTGGCTGCAGGGACACATTTGATGTCTTGCTTCACATCGAGCACCACGGGCCTTGAATTTAGATTTAGATTGTCTGGCAAATTAAAATTCTTGACGTGCACGGGCAATCATCATCATCTATTGCATACAGATTTGTCTTAAATGCCTCGACAGCCTCTCTTAATATCGCCCCGCTGAGGCTGCTGGCCTCCGCTTACTATGTGCTTTATGAGCTCGTCAGTGGAAATAAGACTATTGTTAATATTATTCACTGGTTGTTTGTTAAGACTTGCAAGCTTTTGAGAGACTCAATAAAGAGGACCCATGCTCACTGAAAATAAAAAGCATCTATTGATTTCCTTTTCAAGCTCAGGCCCTGAAACACTTCAAAACAGCAGGTCAGCGGAGCTAAGCACCTGGAATTGGAGCACGGGCCTCTCATCCACGACAGAGGCTTTAAAGCTCAAGGCAATGTGGAGAAATCTTCAGAGGCTGAAGACGAGGCTTAGCCGAAGCCCTTGTGCTGCCTCCCTCTCTAAGCAATTCCAGCTTGTGCTCAGCTCAGCTCCGACTCCCCTGAACATTGGTCCGGCTGGGTTTTTCTTATCTGAAGGTGAAATCATAAATGAAATTGGGGTTAAAATTTGTGGACGTGACTGTCCTGGCAAAGCTGAAATTTTTTGTTTTCCTCTAACTGAAAGGAAACAGGAAGTAATTAATAGAAAAAGAAAACTCTTAAAATAAGTATGCATGAAGGCGCACAGAGCACAATGTGATCCCCGACTGCAGAAATGACCTTTACCCAGGATTAGTACAGTGAACTGTATCCTCAGGCCATGGTGAGCCATGCAGGACACACTGTCCACATTAGGCACTGCGGCTTCTGAGAATATACTGCCCTGCAGCGCTGCCATGCTTCTAATCATGTTAGAGCACAGCTGTGTCGCGCACATGAGCCATACATTGAGACGAAGGAGGCGATGCATTATTAGGTTCCTGTCTAAATTGGGTGTAATCAGGGAAGACAGTAAACCAATATAGATACAGAAATTTCAACAAAGCAAAACGTGTGGTCACTCTGAGAGATCAGCTTAGGTAATGAAACACACGCAAATAAAGAAGTAATCTTCTCATAACTGGAAATGCATCTATGACATCTTCAGAGATCTGTTCAGGGTTAGACTGACATCTACGTCTCTACATGGAATATTCACCTAGTTGTCATACTCAAATGGAAATCTTATAAATGAGTAATATGAATGACAAAATATGTGTAAGATAGAAAGAGCTGACTTGTAGGTTCTGACATCTTTGTTTACCATGTATACAATTTACCATAAGTTAAAAAAAAAAACCCACATGTAAATACACAAGTATTAACAGCATAATTTTATATCTTATATTTAAATCAGTTCAGCGCAGTTTTTAATACTTTTAATTTGGTCTCTATTTTCCTACAAAGGCAATTCTATACTCAGTAATTTTGTTGAATTGCTAAACCTCTAGAAAAATTGAAGAACACAGTGTTGAAAATCTGTTTTATTTTTGATCATAGACTGTATATAAAAGATGGAAACAACTAAATAAAGTCCTGCCTTCTTTCTAAGGGCCAGCAGGGGATAAGTCCTGTGGTTTCAAAGGGAAATCTGCGTACAGAGTGCTGCAGGAATAAGTCCAAAAACCTGGAAAGGAGTTGCTGTTTTTTTTGAAGAAGCACAAACTTTATTGCCTTTTATTGTTTTTTTTCACTTGTTTGTTTTGGGGGGTAGGGGTGGCGGTGGTTATACCACAAAGCAGCATATGTGTCAGATGATACCATTAAAAATACAGAAGGAACCAGCAGCACAAACAATGTCTAAAGATTCATTTCAGAGCCTAATTAATAGACGTCCAGCTAGCTAACAGCCATTCCACCTGTCACACCTGCCACGCCCCTATCTTAAAGACTTATCATAAGTTAATGGCTTTGTTACCAAAAATATATTTTTAAAAAATCAGAATCAATTACCCTGGGCTTCTAAACACATCTCACACAAGCTTCCTAAGTCTGTCGCTGGGTAAGTTGGGCATTTTAACATGGGGGTCTGTTTGACTCACTTTGGTAGCCTGCCTCCAGTGGCCATCAGAGGAATTACAGTGTTTGGCATTTTATTTTCCAGCTTGGTCTTATTAGTGATTCACATAAACTAACCCTTGAATTATAATGACATTGT